AAAGAGTGCCTAATTATTTAATTGTAAATTAGAAGCCGAAAAACGTGTAATTAAAAATTAAATAACAAAAGAAATAATTAATTAATTAGAATTAGAATTTCAAAATATAAATTTACAATTTGTAAAGGGGAAAAAACAAGAAAAAAATAATAATAATAAATACAAGTTTTAAACCATTCTCTATTTAATAAACAACTAAATAAAATATTACTATACGATAAGATTATAAACCCGTTCTCTTAAACTACGAGTCATTGTAAAAAGTATTTATATAAACCGCCATTTTTTTTTATTATTTATTTTTTAGTTAGTGCAGTTTATTGCATAGTTTCAGTCGCTATATCTGGTACATGACCTTGTGTAGTAATGAAAGTGCACGCAAAAGTAATGAAAGCATTCGCTGTTCACTGTCATAGGTGACATTTTATACCCGAAGGTGTTTCTCGGAATAAAAACTCTTAAATGGTATTTTTTAAGTATTCTCTTGGGAAATCTAACTGTTATTCTCCAAAGTATATTGTGCCTCTACAATTGCTACGAGTAGGCAGCAAAATACGAGGGTTAAGGATGGCTATTATCTTTTTAGTTTGGACTAAAAAGCTTAGCTAATCTAGTGATACTTAAGCAGCAACAGTCAAGAATTCGACTTAGCGTTTTTGGATAGTTTAAAAGGTAGAAAAGTAGTTTGCCACTTTTTTTTTTATACTTAATGTTCATCTAATTTCTTACATCGGGACAATAATGACCACTATTACCAAAGGATATTTTTTTTTTCTCTCTCTCTTATTTTTTTCTGAAGTGCCTGAACTGTTACAAACACTATTTACCGTTAATGAGAGCTGAGGATAGAAGAATTATATATCTTTTCTCAAGAATTACTCTCTGAAGATATTGATAAAACGATTTAAGTAATTACTAAAAATAAAAGTTAAAAAAATTCTTATTTATTTCTTCTTTTTAATTCTTAAGCAATATGTCGAGAGACTGTCTTTCATTTTACTAATTATCATTTTTGCTTTTAAAATTAATCTTATTTTTAATTTTTTTAAATATATTTTATATCAATTTAACTTGTCTAATTATGATTTAAATTGCTGTTAAATTAAATTTTTGCAACATAATCGTTTTATATAGGAAAAAAAA